AACCATCCATCATTCATCCTTCATCCAACCATCTATCATCCATCATCTGTCTTTCCATCCTTCATCCAACATCCATCATTCATCCAACCATCCATCATCCATCCATTCATCATTCATCCAAGCATTCATCATCCATCCATTCATCTTTCATCCAACCATTCATCATCCATCCATCAATTCCTCATCCAACATACATCTGTCCAAGATCTTTCATCCAACCATCAATCATCCATCCATCCATCATCTATCAAACCAGCATCCAACCATCAATCATCCATCTTTCATCCAAACATCATCTGTTCAACCATCCATCCATCCTTCATCCATCTATCCATCCTTCATCCAACCATCATCTGTCCAACCATTCATCCATCCTTCATCCATCCATGATCTATATATCCATCAATCCTTCATCCATCCATAATACATCATCCAGCCTTCATCCAACCATCAATCATTCATTCATCCATCCATCCATCTATCATCCATCCATCCATTCATCACAGTCCATCCATCTATCCATCATCCATCCAGCCAGTCATCCATCCATCCATGATCTATTTATCCATCAATACTTCATCCACCCATAATACATCATCCAACCATCAATCATCCATTCATCCATCCATCTGTCATCCATCATCCATCCATCCATTCATCACCATCCATCCAGCCAGTCATCCATCCATCATCCTCCCTCTCCCCAGAGACACTCTCCAGCTCCTCCTGGAGGATCTTTATCAGATGTCTGAACAACATGAGCCAACTCCTTTTGATGGAGCAGCAGCTCTACTCTGAGTGCCCCCCCATGACAGAGCTCCTCACATCATATATAAGACTAAGGCTGGCCACCCTGCAGATGAAGCCCATTTTAGCAAAATCAAAATAAGAAACATACAAGAAGAAGCTTTAAGCACATAAAAAATATAATTGCTTTCTGAATGGATGGAGATTCAGAGAAGTGAAAATGTTCAAAATAAAACTTACCAAGGGTGTGGATTGCAGTCATCAACATCTGAAAGAAAGCAAAATACACAAAAATGTATTGTTTCAAATTAATTTCCCAGCAGAACATAAAATCTGGTTATGTGTTTTTATTTTCACTCAAGTCATTCGTGACATTCAGGGAAAAAACTGCTGCAGGATCTGAGCTGAAAACGTTAGGCGAAGGTGCCATGAAGGTAACTTACTCCGTGCACATGTGGGTCCCTTCCAGCCGTCCTTGCAGATGCAGGTGAAGGTGTCTCCTCCTCCGACGCATGTCCCTCCATTCTCACACGGTCGTGAATCACACGAGCTGTTCTTGGCTAAAAAGAGCAAACAAGATTCCTTCATCCAAACCAGGAACTGTTTTAGTTAAATTCCTCCACTGACATTATCTCCCACAGGTAGTGTCTCACCTGTGTTGCAGGTGTTTCCGCCCCACCCTGGGGTGCAGCTGCACAGAAATGAGTCTCCGTGGTCAAAACACGTCCCGCCATTGCTGCACGTGTTGGAGTCGCACTGAGACTCACCTGGAGAGGAGCAGCATGGCAAAAAGATGACGACATCTGACTTTGAGTCAGGCTTGATAAACATCTTTAGAGATGAGATCAGGACAGGAAACATGTCTGAGCAGCGAACAGTCAGGGCATCACTGTGCGCAACCACGAAGAAACACAGCTGACATATTTGAGAGTGGAATGTGGGGACATACAAGCTGCACCACTTTCCTCTTTGTTGAACGAAGCTAATTAGAAAGAGGACTGCAGAAATCCATATTTAACTAGAGAAATTAAATTTTATGTGAAAATATCGTGTGAATGTTTATTGCAGAAGAACTTGCTGAAAAACAGCTGAAATTAGCTAAAAAAAAAAAACAGGTTGAAATATAGCTGACATGAAAGAACAAGCCTAAATTAGCAGAAGAAAGCAGAAAGCACAATTACCAGTAGTTGCTGAAGTAGGTTTAAATAAGCAGAAATGAGCACAAAAATTAGAAAATCAGCAACAAAAAGCTGAAATTATCAACAACAACAAAAAAAGCTGAAAAGTAGCTGAAAAGGCAGAAAGAAGTTTAAACTACCAGAAGGAAGTGGAAAAACTTAAATGAGCTAAAAAAAAGTGGAATTATCTGAAAAAGTTAAAAAATTGCATGAAACAGCTAAATAGTAGCTGAAATAGCAGAAACAGCTGAAACTAGTAGAAATAAGCTGAAAGGAGCATGACAAACTGAAATTAGCTGAAAGAAGTCAATAAGGCTGAAAGTAGTAGAAATGAGACAAGAAACTTGACATTATCTGAAAATAGCTAAAATTAACTGTAAAAAATGTTAAAAAGGTAGCTGAAAATGTAGAACAAGCTTAAATTAGCAGAAGAAAGTAGAAAGAACATGTTTGCCCAATTACGTTGAAAGCAGAAATTAGTACAAAAAAGTGTAAATTATCTGAAAAAAGCTGAAATTAGCAAAATACAGCTGAAAAGTAGCTAAAAAGGCAGAAAGAAGCTTAAATTACAAGGAAGTGGAGAGAGCACATTTTGCTGAATTAGGCTGAATAAAAGTTGAAATGAGTGCAAAAAATGTGGAATTAGCTGAAAAAGCTAAAATTAGCATTAAAAGAGCTATATAGTAGCTGAAATAGCAGAAAAAGTTGAAACTTGCAGAAATAAGCTGAAAGGAGCAGAAATAAGTTAGAAGAAGCACAACAATGGTGTAGTTAACAGAAATAATCTAAAAGGATCACAAAACAGCTGAAAAAACATCTGAAAATAGCTGGGGGGAAAAAAAGGTAAAATTTGTACAAGGAAGCTGAAAGTAGCTGAAGCAGAACAAAATGTGAAAGCAGCGGTAAAAGGTTGTAAACAGATCTAAAGATTTGAAGGATGGAAAATGAGCTCAATTCATTTTCTATGAGGAAAAAAAAGACAGAAAAGGCTAAATATTTTTTAAAAAAGCTAAAGTTTCTAAAAGAGCTGAACGTTTTGATTTATTATTTGTTGAAATAGCACAAAAATTGTGGAATGAGAAAGATGCTGAAAAACGTACGGAAGAAAAATGGATCACAGTGAGAACACTTCATAAACATTCACACAATAAGCGAGTTCTTCCCGGGTTGAACTCACTTAGGTGGCAGGTTTTCCCCTTCCAGCTGTTCACACAGCTGCAGAAGAAGTCGTTGAGCAGATCCACACACTGGGCTCCGTTCTGACACGGATTTCTACTGCACTCGTCCACATCTGGAGCAAACAACAAAACAAAGTGTTTGGATCAACTCCTTCATGGTACTCTGTGCTTGTTTTAGCTGCTGCTAAGAAAACGCTTTTAAAAAGGCTAAAATGTTGTTTTTATTTACAATCACAGATCTGATAGGTTGGGACTTTGTAAAAAATGTAACTAAATATTTGTAATGATTTGTAAATATAAACACATTTTATTTACAATGGAATATCATAAATGTATCAAATGTTGAAACTTAAAAATTGTAACTTTTTTTTTTTTTTTAAACAGGTAATGAGCGGGGTGGTCCAATGACAATTACAAAATTGATCATCAATCTTTGGTCCAAGGTGGCCTGGTACCAAGTACATGTTAGAACCACTCTGTTTGGACATGATGTTCGTTACTGACAACCCATGCCTAGCACAGAAGTCCAATAAACGAGCACAGAAGTCCAATAAACGAGCACAGAAGTCCAATAATAACACCATTCAATTTCCGATCAGGGAGGCTGTTCCTCCCACTCACCCCATCCAGATAACTTTGTCATTGCCCACATGTGCATTGAAGTCACCAAGTAGAACAAGAGGATCTCCAGATGGAACCGCTTCCAGGACACCATCCAGAGACTCCAGAAAGGCCAGGTAATCTCAACTGATGTTTGATGCATAAGAAAAAACAAGTCGGAACCTTCCCTCCTGCAGCCCAAAGCCGTAGAGAGGCAACCCTCTTGTTCACCGGGGAAAACCAATACCGAGGTATTCAGCCGGGAGCTTGTTAGAATAACCCACACCCGCCTGAGGCCTTCCCCTGGGCTTCTCCAGACTAGGAGAAAGTCCAGCCCGTCTCCAGACGTTGGGTTCCAGAGCCAAAGCTGTGCGTGGACATGAGCCCAACTATATCTAGATGGTACCACTCAACCTCACACACAAGCTCCAGCTCATTTCCTGCCAGTGACGTGATGTTCCAAGTCTCTAGAACCACTCTAAGCTGCCAAGAGTCTACATGGCTAGGGACCGCCGCCTCATCTGCCACCTGGCTTGCTTTGCACTCAAACTTGACTGACCTCAGCACAGGTGGTGAACCCATCTTGTCCTTTCCTCTGGCTTGGCACGGCCAAGCTCCAGGAGTCAAGGCTTGACCACCAGGTCCTCTGGATGGATTCTTATTGAGCATGCATCAGGACGCTTGACCACCAGGTGCTTGCAGGCAAGATCCCTATAGGTCTGGCTTCAGGGAGGTGCCCCGGTTTCCATCTTCTGGGCAAGGTATCCTGATGCCTCTGTTGTTGATCCATCAAGGTTTTTGAATTGTTTTTTAAGTTTAAAAAAAACGCCAGAGGCATTCCAGAGGCACCAATGGACCTCCATACCATCAGAGGTAGACTTTAGAACTGTGAGCTTATAACAGACTGGACGGCTCTGGACAAAGCCTCCATGTTTTCCAAACAGAACTTCAGACCCATCTGACCAAAGAACATTTCTTCACTTTGTTATTTGACGTTTCAGCACTCACCAACATCACACAACGTCCCCTCCCAGCCGTCGGGGCAGATACACTCAAAGGAGTTGATGCCGTCAATGCAGGTGCCTCCGTTCTTACAGGGGGATGATGCACAATCGTTCGTGTCTGCCGGCAGAGAGCAAACGTTTGAACTAAAGGTCTTGGCATGGTGTCAAAAGAAAAGTTTTTCCTACATGTTCAGTTCTTGTTTGAATTTTCAGATAAAATTAGGTCAAAGTTTTAGCTTAAGGGTTCAAGTTTTGACCCTCGGTGTGCTTTTAGTATTAGAGTCAGTATTAGTACAAGTATTAGTACCAGTATTAGTATTGGTAAAAGTATTACTAAAATCAGTATTAGTACAAGTATTAATATTAGTACAAGTACCAGTATTAGTACAAGTATCAGTATTAGTACAAGTATCAGTATTATTACAAGTATTAGTATTAGTACAAGCATCTGTATTAGTGCATGTATCTGTATTAGTACAATTATCAGTATTAGCATTAGTACAAGCATTAGTATTAATACTAGTATTAGTATTAGCATTTGTACAAGTATTAGTACAAGTATTAGTATTAGTACAAGTATCAGTATTAGTACAAGTATCAGTATTAGTACAATTATCAGTATTAGTACAAGTATCAGTATTAGTTCAAATATCAGTATTAGTGTTAGTCCAAGTATTAGTATTATATTAATATTGGTATAAATATTAGTATTACAATAATATCAATATTAGCATTAGTACAAGTATCAGTATTAGTACAAGTATCAGTAGTAGTACAAGTATTAGTATCATATTAATACTGGTACAAGTATAAGTACTAGAGTAATTTCAATATTAGCATTAGTATAAGTATCAATATTAGTACAAGTATCAGTATTACTGTAAGTATCAGTTTTAGTACAAGTATCAATATTAGTACAAGTATCAGTAGTAGTACAAGTATTAGTATCATATTAATACTGGTACAAGTATAAGTATTAGAGTAATTTCAATATTAGCATTAGTGTAAGTATCAATATTGGTACAAGTATTAGTATTAGTGTTAGTATTAGTATTAGTTAGGGAATGTTTTGTTTATGTTGTTTGTCTCATGTTTTTTCTTTCCTGCTTTAACCCAAACTAAGACACTGATAATGACACCAGTCTGGATTAAGACGTGTGGTTCCCACTGACGGTAACTGATGACAAATATAGTGTGGATGTCTCCGTGTGTCTCAGTGTGTGTATTTGTATGTGCATCTCTCGTGCTAATAATAACTCACTCTCGTGGCAATAAGTGCCGGTAAATCCCAGATCACAGGAGCAGCTAAAGTTCCCAGCAGGCTGGCTGATGCAGCGACCGTGTGGTCCACACACATTGGATGAGATGTGCCGCACCTGATGCACCGTGTCGTTGGTCGCAACAGCAACAGTGCAGCTGTCAATCACTGGGGATTATGGGTAAGAAAAGGAGAAGTCAATGGGAAGAGTACCTGTGAGCAGCTTCTCCAGTAAATATGGTGAAGTGATAAATGTGAGGGATCTGCAGGTCCTTTCTACCTTGGCACTGGTTGGTCTTGCAGTGGTCCTTGAGCTCAGAACATGTTGGGCCTTCGTAGTCATCCAGGCAGCTGCAGTAGAAGCCTCCCACCAGGCTATGGCACACAGCCTGGTTCTGACAGGGGTTTGGGCTACAAGGGTCGTCCTGCACCTTCACAGAGAAGAAGGAAATATTTTAACCATCCTTTAGTCTGACCTGGGATCTGTTGGTTCACACTGCTGGATGTAGTGCTCACCTCACACGTTGTCCCACTGAAGCCTCTTGGACATTCGCACATGAACCCGTCCAACAGCGCGTGGCAGCGCCCGCCGTTCTTGCACCGCCCGATGGAGCAGCGGTTTCTCTGGACCTCACAGTGCCGACCCACAAACCCAGGCTGGCAAACGCACTGGTGGCCTCCAGCTGTACTCTGCTCCGGAGACAAGAAGTCCAGTTCAGACACTCAATCAAAATAAAACCTTGGTCTACTTCTATTAACAGGATACGTTAGTAACCAGCATTTTCAATCCAAAACCCACTTCAAGTGAGCCTTACCTTACAGATGCCACCATTCTGACACCGTCCGTGACAGCTGTTTATATCTGAAGGAAAGAACAAAAGTTTGCATTTGAGTTCTGACAAATGGTCACTGGGGGGCATGTCATGCAGCTGCTACAGGGAAGTGGTCGATAATGATCCATGCCAAGAAGACGTGCAGATTTAGAGTGCAGGCGAGCTCAGAGAGCATGAAATTAAAAACTACCTCTAAAGATGCTAAGAGTTACGTTTAAATTAGTCCAGTTTAGAGCAGGTAGAATCAGCTATGACAGAAAGAGATGGAAGTAAAGCAAATAAAGTCCAGCAGCCCTCACTGACGGACTTCTCTTTTACTGGCATCTGTGCACCACTTTCTGCAGCTCTAATCAACTTGTTACGTTAAGTGACAGCTTTACTGTAGACTGCTCAACTCAGCTAAAAACAACTCAAATCATTCTAGTATCTTTGATATTTCCAGTAAACATCACTGATATTCAGTAAAGCGAGACATTCGTGAGTGAAGGAGCTGCGACGGAGGTCAGCAAGTAGGAAAAGGATAAAGACGGAGGATTTACTGAGCTCATACTAACTGATGTCACACTTCTGACCCGCCCATCCACGAAAGCAGGCACAGTGATATCCACCAATTAAGTTTTTGCAAGAGTAAGCATTGAGGCAAGGCTTGCCTGCACACTCATTAACGTCTGCAGAATGGACATGAGAGACACAAAGACACTGAATGAGAGTCCCGTCACCAAGAACAGCATCTTCTCAGACGACCTGCTACAAAGGCAACATTTGATCTTTTCATTCCATTTCTGACACGGTCACTGATACACAGACGAGCCCGCTTCAGGCTTCCTGTGGGCATGAAGAACAGGCAGAACCTTTGCAGCCTGACTGGTTCTTCCACAGGTTTCCGTTACCCCCCCTCCCCTCATGGTTCATGTCTCTGTATTGCATTCCCTGAAGGCCAACCAGTGGCATTCCAAGTGGTCAGTTTCAGAGGTGGCGCTCTCCGTGCCGCCTCACCCTCCACAACCAACACGGTGCATTAATACTAGTCCCAGGAGGTGAGCGGCACCTGTTATCCTGGTGAAACCAAACCCCCTGACCCCCCCTTACCAACAGCAACATGTCTACTGTGGATCTTCCACAGGTACCCCCTCACCTGCCCATTGAAAAGAGCAAACTGTTTAACAGAACAGATGCTCTTCTTCCTGTAAATGTTCATAGGTTTCAGTGTTCCTGGATGAAGGGCTTCTGATGTGTTGAGGCGTTTCCTCACTTATTCCCTGCCTGGAACCAAACATAACCCCCACCCCCCTCCTCAGAAAAGTATATAAGGTCCCAAGGCTAACAGTTGCCAGGCTGGAGGTTATTTTTAGCTTCACTCGAGTTGCAGATGATACCCTGTGAGCGTTGAGCATGCGTAAAAACAACACCCTCTTTAAATGAATGGTCTTTCTGCACGAATACTGTCTGTCAGACATGACGGTCCTTGTTTCTGCAGCACACACTGGAACACGTCAGCAAAATAACCAAACATGCAACAGATTTAAAAACATTTATCATTTAAAGGTCGTGTAATATGCGCTCTGCTTCCAAACTGGAAATTCTTTGGAATCAAATACAACTGAGTGGTCAGAGAAAAAGAAACAAACCAATTTGGCAGGTCTTCCCTGTCCACTGTGGAGGACAGATGCATTCAAAGCCGTTCTCCAGGTCAATGCAGGTCCCCCCCTCAGAGCACGGGTTGGAGACACATTCATCTGTGTCTGAAATATACGAGCGACATCAAAGAAATGCTCACAAACACATGAATATTAAATATATTTGTTGGGTCCAACAACAGCTTTACAGTAAGACTTCACATCAATGTATTACAGTATTAAAGCACATTCTTTAATGTTCAGTTCAAAGGTATGGCCTATATTTCTAAAATAAAATGTGCAAATCATACATCAGTGTGCTCTGACTTCTGGTTGCAGCATTTTGCACAAAGTAGACAAAATTTACGCCGGCGGTAATGACACCGAGTTCGGTCAATCAGAGATCACTAAAATTAACGTTGCTTCTGTGTTTAACTTCACAAAAACTATCGTTTAACCTAAAGGTTTACTTGTGGTTCCTAGAGTTTCCAAAAAGCAGAATGGGAGGCAGATATTTCAGTGATCAGGCTCCCCTCTTGTGGCACTAACTCCCAGTTTCTGTCCGTGAGACTGACACATTGTCTACTTTTAAGATTAGGTTGAAGTCTTTCCTTTTTGATAAATCCTATAGTTAGGGCTGGCTTGGGTTTTCTGAGCTATTCCTTACTTATGCTGCTATAGGCTTAGACTGCTGTGGGACAAATTGACCACATTTCCTCACTTTGCTGCTTCTTTACTTGCTCTACCTGTTTGTATTTGTAATTATTTATATCTTAAAATGGTTTTTGGTCTTGCCTCCTATAGAAAGTTCACCTGGACGTGTCATTCTGTGTTTGTCTGTTTCTACTTCCTGTCCTCTCAAACTCAGCCGGTCAAAGCAGATGGCCGCTCGTCCTGAGCCTGGTTCTGCTGGAGGTTTCTTCCTGTTAAAAGGGAGTTTTTTCTTTCCACTGTCTCCTTTGTGCTTGCTCAGGATGGGAGACTGTGACGAAGTGAAGATTTAACACAATCTGCTGCTTCCTTAGATAGAGAACTTTTACTAAGTGGCTTTTTTAATGTATTTGAATGGTTTTGTTCAGTGCCCTGAGATGATTTCTGTTGTGACTTGGCGCTATATAAATAAACTGAATTGAATGAACAAAACTCTGAACAATGTCTCCACAGACAGTGATGGTGTTTAATCGAAGCAAGTGGTAAAGGCTCTCCAGCTCCGAGCTCACAGAGGAAACATCATCCAGGTTACAGATGTGGAGACGTCGTTTCTTTTTCTCACCTTTAGCACAGGTTGTCCCTGACCAGCCAGCAGGACAGTGACACTCAAACCCTGAAGGGACTTCATGGCATGTCCCTCCGTTAGCACAAGGGTTGGACAAACACGCATGCTCTGCTACAAACACAAAAGAAAAAAAAAACTCTAAAAGTGCTGAGACAGAAAATCGTAGTGTGTTAGGTTCACAGACTTACCGATCTCACAGTTCCTGCCAGAGTAGCTGTCTGGACAAGCGCATTTGTACTCATTAGGTTCTGTGTTCATACATGTTCCTCCGTTCTTACAGGGCCGGTTGGTCCCACAGTAGTTCAGATCTGCAGAGCAGATCACAAACTTCATTTGTAATGTCAGGCTTATAAAACACACAAACAGGACAGTTACGTTAGTTGTTCTCCAAAAAGATTCACTTTGTGCTAAAATAAATCACATAAAAATGTAATTTCAGCATTAGTTTTCTAAATCTTTACTTCAGTTGTATCGTAAAAAATGGAAAGGGTAAAGCTCAAACATCAAATCAAACACTGGCTCATTCAGTTAAGCTGGTTTGAGTCCAGCCTGTGGAGTACCAGCCTGTAAATTTGCTGACTGCTAACACCACGGCTAATACCATGCTACGGCTAACATGAGCTAATGCTACATTCAACACTAAAGCTACTGCTACAGCAGAGACTTCTGCTAATTCATTCATTCAACCTTTATTTATACAGGTTAGTTCCCATTGAGCCTCAGGGACTCATTCACAGGAGAGACCTGATTTTAACAAAGCGTGATGACAACAAAGACAACAATAGACAATCTTAAAGGATGCGTACAAAAACTTGTGTAATGCAACACTGAATCAGGTGTAAAAATTTATGACAGTATTTGCACGAACTTCTCTGAAATCTTGGAGAAGACAGCGGTTTAAAAAAAGTGCTATGTGTTGTCATCATTATATGTTCCCATACAACCAGATTTCTGAAATTAAATCTGGGGACATTTTCACTTGGAAACAAAAAAAGAATTAAGTGATATCAAGATGAAATAAAGAAACTGGACGGTTTTGTTTATCTTTACATATTTATTCATGCTTAACAATGAAAAACAAATGTAACAGCAAGAATGTGTCTCTGCACACTGTTAACATTTTCTACGAGTAATAAAATGAATAAAGTAATAGTAGTAGTACTGTGTATACTAATGTAAGTGACCATGCATACATTTTGCGTGAATATGAATGTGCACAGAGTGGTGCTTAAATGTTTGTGAAACCTCTAGAATTTTCTATATTTTTGCATAAATATGATTTAAACATCATCAGATTTTCACACAAGTCCTAAAAGTAGATAAAGAGAACCCAGTTAAACAAAGGATAAACATTTTATACTTGGTCATTTATTTATTGAGGAAAATAATCCAATATTACATATTTGTGAATGGTAAAAGTATGTGAACCTCTAGGATTAGAAATGAATTTGAAGGCGAAATTATAGTCAGGTGTTTTTCAATCAGGTGTGAGTGGGCACCCTGTTTGATTTAAAGAACAGGGATATAACCATTGGCATCAGAAGCATTTGTAATGTGGGGGGATTCACTGGTGGGGGGTCTGAGGGTCCTCCCTCAGAAAATTTTGAATAAAGCAGATGACATTTCCTGTATTCTGGTGTATTTTAATGGGTTGTTAAACATCTATGCTGATCTAACTAAACATTTGATTCAATAACTATTTTATAGTTAATGGCACAACAAGAAGTAGCCTGACCAACAGCTCCCCTTGTGTAAATAGCGCACGCTCTGCTTTTCTCACGCATCCTAACATGACCAAGTCAAAGTCCTGACCTTAATCCAATCCAGATGTTGTGGAAGGACCTGAAGCTGCAGTTAATGTGAGGAAACCACCAACATCCCAGAGCTGAAGCTGTTCTGTATGGAGGAATGGGCTAAAATTTCCCCAAGCTGGTGTGCAGGACTGATCAACAGTTAGCAGAAATGTTTAGTTGCAGTTATTGCTGCACAGGGGGGTGGGGTGTTTCACCAGATACTAAAAGCAAAGATTCACAAATATGTAATATTGGATATTTTCCCTCAATAAATAAATGACCAAGTGTAATATTTTTGTCTCATTTGTTTAATTGAGTTTTTTCTATCTACTTGCAGGACGTGTGAACATCTGATGATGTTTTAGGTCAGATAAATGCAGAAATATAGAAAATTCACACAACACAAACACAAACTTTCAAGCACCACTGAACCACCTATGCAAGTAAAGTACATAGGTGCATATAAGTACACAGTGTATGGCTACGTAGTTGATGTGTAAATATATTGTGTGTACGTGTGAGGTGAGTGAACTGTGGTCAGGTAGTCCGCTAACATGAGCTCATCTCTGGTTCTGCGAGGCCTCCTCTGTCTGAGGAGCCATCAGTCATTGGTAGACATGGAGCTCTGGAATAGAATAAGAGCAGAAAAGGTTATGTGCAAAACTGAAAGAAGACAAATAATAGTAGTTTTACTTTTCTTCTTTCGGCTGCTCCCTTTCTCAGGGGACGCCATATCGAACTATCTTGCATGAAGATTTGGTATTTGTTTTTATGTCGGATACCCTTCCTAATGCAACCACAGACCACGAGCTACCAAAGCCCTCTGTGTGGAGCAGAGAGCTGCTATCAAGGGCACCCAGGGGAGCAGATGTTGGGGGTTAAGGGCCTTGCTCAAGGGCCCAGAGTGGGGCAACTGAGGGTAGAGGCAGGTGTGGGTGTTTCACCTTTCCCACCCACATTTTGATGTTGTCAGTCCGGGGAGTTGAACCTGCGACCATCCAATCAAAGGCTCACCTTTAACCTCTGCGCCACCACTCCCCACATAATAGTAAAGTGAAATACTTAAAACATGAGAAATAAGACACAATTTAGTAATATGCTTATGCTTTTCTACTTATTTCATCTCGTCACTCAAAAAACTGCCTCTAATTATTTAACTAGTTTCCTCTGCGGATAAAATGCCAAAAATCCTATTTACAAAAAAAAAACTATATTTATTTGGAGCTACAAGCTCATAAAACAGAAGAAATACACATTTAAACAGATGATGATGATGATCTCTCCCTCTTCGTCATTTTCAGTTCATTTCTTGCCTCATTCAGTTTCCATCACTGAGGAACTTCCATACGTCCAAACCGAGTAGACAAACACACCTCAGCCTGAAAGTCTGTGTTCACAAATCACTTTAATAAAGTAGCAAAACAACTCATACCTAGCTCTGAAAATATAAACTAAAGGTCGCCAGTCAATTCTAAAACATCTTACTTTGGATGAACCTTTGTTGACACTGTAACACGCCAACAACAGCTCAGTTCCTGTTGATGCGGGCACCCTCGCGCGATGTTCAACGTAAGTATAAACCTAGCTTAACTGAGCCTTGAAGGCAGTTAATCATCCTGTTACGATTTCTCCCACTCTCTCTCACTCGCGTCACAGTTACTCCCTGTGCTCTCGTCTTGCCTTTTGTTGTTCTGTTTGTTAATAAAAGCTTGGTTTGGGTCCTCATCTTTAGTAAAACAAAACACATTCCAGCTCTATTTTTTATTTTTTTTATTTTTTAATCTTGGCACAGTTGACAAGACTAGTAACATTTCCTACTGCGAACCAAACCTTTATCACAGCAAGGATCAGCCCAGTTCAAACAAAATAAATTGATTCAGACATACCATATCACAGGAGAGCTCCCCTTCGGTGGTGAAAAGTTCACGCTCTCTTCTTCTTCTACTTCTTCTTTTTAACGGGGGCATGCTCCGCTCTTCTTCTTCTCTGTCTGTAACAGCAGCGCGACCAGCTACCGTAATAGCTGTTGTTGCATGCAACATACTTGCGCTTTTCTACCCGGCTACTGTAATAACAGTCTACACGCAACATTTTTTCCTCGTTCATAAAACGTTAAAATTGGGGACATTTCTGGGGACAGCTTTAGCCAGGAACAGGTCATCCAAAATAGGGACTGTCCCCAGAAATCTGGGTCATCTGGCCACACTACCATACAATGACCAAATTAGTTTTCTACATTTAACCCATCACACGTGAGATACAACCAGGTGGAGCAGTGGGCAGCTATGCAAGCGCCCAGGGAGCGATTAAGGATTGGGTGACTTGCTCAAGGACACCACAACATGTGGGCATGGCGAGGAGTTGAGCCTCTGACTTTCTGGTCCCAGGTCAGCTGCCCTACCTCTACACCATCTTGGTCCCCCAAGATGGTGTTTATATGGTTTATAAAGCACTAATGGATTTAAGCTGTGTTCAGATTAGCATTTGGCTCATCAGTCCTGATGATCTGGTAGTTTATTGCTGATTTTCAAGATGGTGCCTGTGTGTACGGCCGGCTGTCTGTCCTGGTCTTTGTTTTGCTGTTTGTTATTCATTTACTCCTATTTTGTTGTCCTTTTGGCTCTGCTCAGTTTGTTTATGATTGCCAAATACTTGAATTTTCAGTCAGTTCATTTACAAACCATTAATCTGAGTAGGCAGCCAGCGAGTCTTCCTACACTACTCGCTGACATACCACATTGTATACACCACCTACCACTCACTTTTTTTCTCTGTAGGAAGCATCTGAAAAGGTGGGGGAAACAGGCCAGTGTTCTGGTTCAGGACTTGCCTAAAATCTATTGGGCAGATGGATTGCTGCTCTACATCAGAGGTTTAGTTTTCTCTTCAGCCCCTATCCTTATCCAGATGTCACTACTGGATCTGACCTGCTCGCCTGGCCCTTCGGGCGCACGGGTGGATCATACACCTGTCTAGGATTGGATGCGTTCCTACAGAGGCAGACTAAACCCTGGTTACCTTCGCCTGCTGAGACGTTCTCCTGTTTCTCCTGTCTTACCATACTTCAAACTGATCTATTAAACATCAGATCACTGGCAATAAGACTTATTTTAAATGACTTGTTAACTCCTCCAAGCAGGATTTTAAAATTTTTGACAGAGACTTGGCTTCCATCTGGTGAATCTGCTTGCTTTTCTAAACTTCTTCCTCTGGCTGTTTGTTATTCACCCAGACCACTGGTAGAGGTGGAGGGGCAGCTTCGGTGTTTGCATCCCAACATGGCTGTCAACAGCTGTCACCTGTCTCCTACATCAGCTTCGAAGTCTAACTTTTGGAATTGAACTTTTCTCGCTCGGTGATCTGTGCGGCGGTGTACCCTCCACCTAGTAAAGGATGTAAAGGATTTTATTAAGGAGTTTTCTGACATACTTGGGTCACTTGTGCTAAGATATGATCAAATTTTAATTGTTGGGGATTTTAATATACATGCATGCTGTGAATATTGACCTCTAGTAAAATACTTTCTTGCTTGTATTGACTCTTAACTTTACTCACTGGGTCCAGGACTCTAGTCTCGATCTGATTCTGTCTTCTGGTTTGGACCTTTGTATCACAGACATCAGACTGTGGGATATCTGACCATTTCCACTTTCTGTTTAATGTTGGGAGTGTGTGATGTGGAATCGATCAGACAAAGACGTTGAACTCACTGACAGCTGCTCTCTTTTCCTCTTTGTTCACCAGCTCTGTTCTGAGTGAGACCAGTGACGAACTGGTTAATGTTTTTAATCCAACATGTTCTGGCATCCTGGACTCTGTTGTCACACTCAGATCTAAACCATCCCATCAGCCTTTGTTAAATGAAACTACCCCTGCTGTCAGACGGGAGTGCAGCCTTGCAGAGAAAAAGTGGAAAAAGGACAATCTCCAAGTCTCTTTAGGAATCTTACATGACTATTTATCAATCAGAGGGCTGTGAAAGACACTAAATCTGCCTTTCTGTCCAACGCGATAGCTGTAAATAATCACAAACACCAAGTTCTTTTTAATATTTTCACCCTATTGGTAATCCCTGTGTCCCTGTGGAGGCTTCATTTACACTTTGTGACAAGTTTTTGAAAATTTTTGTTGAAAAACTTTCTGATTTTATTCAATACCCATTTTAAATCAGCCTGACTGCTGTTAATCAGCAGTTTGAGCCTGTTTTTCTTTTTTAAGGTAAATATATATATATTTTAAGACCTTCTAATTCTCCTCTAGATATCTTCCCTCTCGTCTTTTAAAGGAAACCCTTCACATCATTGGCCCTTGTATTTTACAGATGTTGAACTCTTCTTTGTCGTCCAGCTGTGTTCCAGCTGCTTGAAACATGCTGCAGTGCAGCCGATTATCAGAAAGAAAAACCTTGATCCGAATGTTCTTTTTAACTACAGGCCAATATCTAAACTACCATCATGTCCAAAGTGTTGGAAAAGATCATTTTTAATCAACTTCCGACCTTTATCTCATGAAGTTTGTGAAGAGTCTGGTTTTAAATCCTGTCATGACCCTGAGAAAGCACTTTGAAGTGTTTTTAATGCTCTTCTTTTAAACGTGGACTCAGACTGCTTCGTTGTTTTAGCGGTTTTAGATTTAACCGCTGCTTTTGATATGGTCGATCACAGGATCCCCTTATCAAGACTTGAACATGTTGGTTTTAAAGGCTCGGTTTTAGTGGTTCAGGTTGTATTTAGTGGACGCGCCCTTTTCTGTTTCCATGGGGGAACACGCCTCTTCTGCAACTATTTGTTGTGGTGAACCTCAAGGCTCAATTTTGGGACTTTTTCTGTTTTGTTTATACTGGCTGCCTTTGAGATCAATATTTAGCAAGCACATTTCATTTCATTGTTATGCTGATGACATCCAAATAATTTTCCCTTTTAAAATGGATGTCTCTGCCCCAACACATTCTCTGTAACTCTCTCCAAGACATCAAAAACTGGTTAACCCAGAACTGTCTGACCTTGAATGAAAACAAGGCCCAAGTTATTTTATTTGGAAACTGTACACCTCTCAGTGAGCTTTCTGATATTCTTGGTCCTCTCGCTCCTCATTGTTTCTCCATGGTCAAGAATCTTGGGAGTGGTTTTAGACAGTTATTGTAAACTTTATAAGCAAATATCTTCAGTTGTCAAAACCCGTTTTTATCAGTTCTGTCGAATAGCGAAAGCAAAATCTTACAATCCTCATAAAGACCTCCAAACTCTTCTCTATGTCTTTATAACAACTAGACTGAACGACTGCAACTCTATATATACTCTATATATTTGGAACAATCCTCGCTCCATCGTCTGCAGTTAGTCCAGAATGCTGCTGTACGTCTTTTAACAGGAACCAGAAGGCAGGGCCACATCTGTCTTGTTTACAATGGCTGCCTGTTCACTTTCATATTGACTTTATTATTTTGCTTACTTTTAAAGTTTTAAACAGCTTAGCACTCAGTTATTTCATGGATCTTTTGCAATTTTATAACCCAAACAGGTAACTGAGATCTTCCAGTCAGATGTTCTTAGTGCAGCCGAGGACTAAATTAACGCTCAGAGAGAATCAGGGATTTGCAGTGGCAGCCCCCAGACTCTGGACCAACCCAACCTTCCCACCAACTGAAGAGAACTCATATGTTTTTTGACCTTTATCACAGAGGAGGCCGCCCCAGTTCTTCTCACAGGTGCACTGCCAGGGTTCACTGCAGGTTCCGTGGTCACAGCCAGGGTACCGCAAGCATCTGTCGCACAATGGTCCTTCCCAACCATATTTACACCTGCAGCAGAAACACAAAGATTTCACATCATTTAAAATTCCTACAAAAATCTATGACTTTAGAAGATTTTTTTCTCTGCTCAAGTCTTTGAACAACTGTTCTCACTTGTTTCAGATTTTTCCAGCAAATGAGCTTCTTTGGAAAATCTAAACGGAGGACAGGAATATAAGAAGATGCAAATAGAACAAAGAGGGAGGTAGCTAAGGCAAAGCAGAAGGCGTATGATGAGTTGTATGGCAACATAATCAGGCCAGGACACTCATCTGCAGGCCAGCGGTCACTCTTTCAGGGATGAAGATGTTCACATCCTTGCTATAGAGGAAAGCTGGTTTGAGAGAGGAGTGAAGGAAGCCATCTTTGTGGAGAACCTGTCGATCGATAAACAGGGGCAGAGGCCTACATGTCCACCTGTCCCCTTCTTAAAATGCTACTATTGCCAGTATCACTCAGCCCTCTGCGAATAGCAAGCAGTCAATTATTAGACTGATGATCCTCTTTTTACATGTGAACAACTACTGTAGATGTGGCTGTCATCAGCAAAATGGTTGATCCACTATGAGAAGGTGCTGTTTGATGCTGAAGGTCCCAGCATACTCCATCCAAAGCCGAACAGTTGACGCACGATCAGGTGGTTGTGGGACATTAGTTTTTGCGCAAATCTTTCATAGTCTATGAAACACAGACGCAGACCCACGTGGTGATGTATACTGCAGCGGGAGGGGTGGGTTTCTTTCTGCCAGAGTCTCCACTCTGTCCATGCATCTGCTGTTTTGTCACAAATCTATCATGAAGAACGCGCCACACTTTTCATCAGACAGACTCCTCTGTACACGATGTCTGCACAATCTCATTCCAGGAGTTATGGGCCATTTGACCAATTTAGTGTTTTTGAAGAGTCATACAGCTGAATGTTTTCACATTTCCATATTGACAAAAGCACTCACAAACTTTGGACCAACCCCACAATACGTAGCGCATACACCTGTGAAAAAAGTTTGGTCAAGGCCTTGTGTCAAGAAGGGGCAGCTGAAGCTGCTCTGTGAACAAAATTATGAAATTTTCATCACACAGCTACGGAAACAAGAGCTGATTTCGGCACTTCAGATGGAGTATGATGACAAAACGTTTCAACAAAGAACCCCTCCAGAGGATCTGACTGTTAGATTTATCTACCTGGATTATTTAGCATGCACCAGGACATTATTAGCAATCTTATTAACATTAAAATTTTCAATAATATTGCTATTATTATGTTGACTATGGTGTTCATTCTTAGGAACATCCGGTCTGGTTCTTCGGAGTGAGGCTTGGGGTGTGGAGGGTGGACTGTGAAGTGTTTGTTAATCTGTTGGTTTTTGGCAACACTCTGTTATTCCAAGGCCAGTTGTAACTTCACCCCACCTGTCCTGTCATTTCTCCTATTTTTGGAGACGCACTCCCCCTCCACCACCCCCCACCCCATCTTCGACGCAAACCCTTGAAAGCAGAGTCCAATCCAGGAGCGGTGATGAAGGGAGCGGTCAGGGTCTGGCAGTGAGCAGGGCAGTTAAGAGGAGGCTATGCTTGGATCAGATCTGGATCAGAGAGATCTGCAGGTCTGGACTGAAACCAGAAATGTTCAGCTCAAAACTTCCTGAGAGGGATCCTCACAAAGGATCCTCCTCGCTGTGTCAGAACCTGCACAGAAAGTTTGGTTCTTGTAAGGTCAAATGTTGTTGCCAGCATGAACAACCATAAAACTCTGCAGTGCTACTACAAGTGTGTGTGTGTGTGTGTGTGTGTGTGTGTGTGTCGTCCTCACAGCGATGAAACTTCCCATCACATGTTGAAACCTGTTCTAGGGAGTTCCTCTGGCCATTTCCAATGAGAAATGTCAGCTTCATAGTTTATAAGCTCTTAACTAAATCAAACATGAACACCCCCCTCCGCCGGCATTGAGTGCATGAGATTGTGTGTGTGTGTAGGGGTGTCGTGCTGATGCTCACACAGCTGCCATAACAAATTCCTGCTGAGCCTCGATGTGATGTGGGCAGCGCTCTGTCACGACCAAACCTGACGTGTTGCATGCTTTTAAAGGTTTCTTTGAACCGTGGAATGATTCTGCAACATGTACGGTTAAAAAAAAAAAAAAAAAACAGATCGAGGTGAGAAACTAACTCCAGTGTCGATCCCATCGTCTGTGATGTCTGACAGCAACGTTGGGGCAGATTCTGTCCTCCAGGATGGCTGATCAGAAAAGTACGAAACAAATGGACTTCTGCTCTGGACCTGAAGACAAGATGAACTGAAAGACGTTGGTATCTATCTGAATATACCTATACCGTAACTTTGTCACAGTCTCCTATACTGAGCGAGCACAAAGGAGACAGTGGAAAGTAAAAACTCCCTTTTAACAGGAAGAAACCTCCAGCAGAGCCAGGCTCAGGACGAGCTGCTTCGACCGGCTGGGGTTTGTTGAAATGTGACAAAGATTCAGACTGATTTTACAACCATCCATGTGGATCTGATCCAGTACCACAGATCAAAGTGACATGGGTCAGAACCTATGAGTTATATTTAAATACACACAAGTCATTCCTCTTGGACACCGGCTCATACACATTTAATAAGGGGACAAACAGAAGATGGCCTTCAAGACACACACTGGTTGAAACATCAAAAACTGGCAGCTAAGTCAGGAAAATGAGGGATTAAAGTTTTTGTGCGCTGCAGAATCCCACTTCCTGAGCTCAGCTGCTGGTGTCGTCAGGTTTAGCATTTAACAGAGTGCTGGAAGCCATAACAAGATCCAGGACAGGAGGAGCTGATGGGGGCTGCAGGGGGGTGGGGTGGGGGGGTATCCTACAGGAGGACTGTAAAGGAGGAACAGTACACATTGGGGGTGGGGGGTTCTACAGCAGGAAACATGACTGGTATTTACTTTGAAATACCAGGATGAGGATAAATGGTGAGGTGTCAGGAAAAGCTGCTCTTTTTACTGGTGAAGTTTCCATTCAGGCAAAACGTTATTCATCATGACTGAACATACACATGCACACACACATGCACAGGCATGCACACACCCACACTAAAAACAAAGGAAGACCGACTTACCTGCACTCCCCCGGTGAACTGCATGTCCCGTGTAAAGGGTTGCATCCTTGTTTGCAGATGGCTTTGGGGAGAAACAGAGAAAGTGACCTGAGTATTTAAATCCTCGGTCTTTCCTCGCTCGTGGAGAAAGACACATGTTGCTGCAACTTTCAGAAGGTTGGTGGACCTTCAACAGTGACAGGAGTTTCTGAACACCCTTGAAATTCTCGAAAGCGACACTCAACGTGAACGTCCACCGCCCTCTGAGCTGAGGACGCTGTGGATGACCACTCCTAGTGTTTACAGTGTCAGTTTTCCATTCTTCAATAAACACGCGACTCTTGTACAAAACCTTCAAACACCTTGTGTAATAACTCAATCCAATCTAAAAGCTGCTGCGAGTGTGAGCAGCATCCTCACCGGTCTTGCAGTCTTCTCCCGTCCAGCCGTCCATACATCGTCTCTTTCCAGACTGGTCGCACACGTAATGGCCAAAGTAGTCGTCGCGTGGACGACACACCGTGTTGCACCTGGGGCCGTAGTAGTGCTCGTCGCAGCGCACTCGGATGGTGTATCTAATGGTGGCGATCAAGCTTTTATGTTCCACCGTCTGCCTCTCCTCTCCGGGGTTAATCTTCCCTTTGTAGACGCTGCGCTCAATCAGAAGATCCTCGTCTTCAGCAAAACAAACGGGAGACGTTTTTAAAATGTGTCACACCAGATTAAAGTCAGAGGATTATTCCATGTATTTTTAAAGGCTGCTTCAGATTAGGCTTTTTTCATTGGGTTTGACAATTTTCATTGGTCTTTGTCAGATAAATAAATAAAAATATAAAGCGAGGTGTCGTCTGCATCTGTGTGTACGGTGTGCAGCATGTCCTGGAGATAAATGTGGCGATTATTAGATATTGATATCAGAGAAAACGATCTATAAATGAGTGAAAATATCATTACTTCAAGAAATTTGTTGTGTTTTGCGCCTTACAGGCAAAAGTTTTCGACAGAGCTGATGCAATCTGTCAGCACTCAGAGGATGCGTTGGGAATGACTCTCAGCTACTACCACACCAAATGTTAGCTCAGTATCTGTTAAACTGGTTGATTAGCTGTGGAGGCCATCTTGATTCAAGCTGACTCAGTGACATGTCAATCTAACATGTGTTCGTAAGATATTTTACTAACAGACAAACTCACACAGGCTGCCTGCCTTTCCTCTACACCAACAAAACGCTGGACTGAAAACCTTCCAGAACACGTTTCTTTATAGCACAAACATTTTAGAGCAGACGTTTGAAACCATTCATGATGCGCTGATCAATGACAACAGTTGGGGGGGGGGGGGGGGGGGGGGTCTCATGTGAAACATTGCTGAACAAAACTGTAGAAGAAAAACTTTGAGGAAAAGGGAATGTAGAGGAAAATTAAGAAAACAAACAGAGGTAGTGTTGCAGAAGTCCCCCCCCCAGGATATCCAGTACTGACTCCATTAGAGCCAAGCAGGAAATAATAAGAGACGAGGAACAGGCAGGGCAAAATAGGAAAGACCCTCTGGCTGGTTCTCAAAGTGTTGTCTGAGTTTTAGATCTGATTTTTGTTTTAACCTTTGAACATTTACTGAAGAGTTTGGAGACCTGCTTCCTTTTTATTATTATTATTATTATTATTGTTATTATTATTATTATTAGGACTTTATTTATACAGGTTGGTTCCCACTGAGCCTCGAAGACTCATTTAACAGAGAGACCTGCTTCCTTCTCTGCGTTTATTACATTTCTCATAACTCCTCAAGGCCAAGCCGGTCGATAAACACAGAAAAATCATTTTGACAGTGTCCTGTGTCCCTGTGTCCTGAGTCCCTGTGTCCTGAGTCCCTGTGTCCTTGAATCCCGACTCCCTGCGTCCTGAGTCCTTGTGTCCCTGTGTCCCGAGTCCCTTTGTCCTTGTGTCCCTGTGTCCTGAGTCCCTGTGTCTTGAGTCCTTGTGTCCCTGTGTCCTGAGTCCCTGTGTCCTTGTGTCCCTGAGTCCTTGTGTCCCAAGTCCCTGTGTCCTGAGTCCCTGTGTCCTTGTATCCCTGAGTCCTTGTATCCCCGAGTCCTTGTATCCCTGTGTCCTTGTATCCCTGAGTCCTTGTGTCCTGAGTCCCTGTGTCTTTGTGTCCTGAGTCCCTGTGTCTTTGTGTCCTGAGTCCCTGTGGCTTTGTGTCCCTGTGTCCTGAGTCCCTGTGTCTTTGTGTCCCTGTGTCTTTGTGTCCT